TCCCGGGCTAGCCTGGGATGCGTCTGGGCAACATGGACGTCCTCGCTATGCAAACCATTACTGCTGCTTGTCGTGCAGCTGTAAGTCTGACGCGAGTGAGTGAGTTGAAATTTATTCTACTTGACGAGGAATTTAAGGGAATAAGTTGGCTTGGATAACATAAACTGACGCAGATCCTTTTGGGAAACATATGACTACCACATATCTCAAACAGAACGACTCTGTGGTTCGTACCTACGATCCCCGGATCTTGGCACGTGTAAGGCAAGCTACTCGGTGGTGTAAAGTATACAATGCTTATGACGTCACAATGCTCTGACGACGCAATACATATGGATTCTGACGTCACGGGCAAAGTAACAGTTACTGTTCTTTTATTCTACCTGATGATGGGGCCAGAACAAGCCCTGAAACGTTGTACCAAACAATAAATAGAAGATAAAACCCAGAAACGTCTCTATGTTCATCAAATAGCATCTTCTAAAATGCCAATCAAACATCTAATTCTTAAATATATAAATATATGGACTGTAGAATAAAATGAAATGAAACGATAATAAAGTTAGGTTTGAACTATGAGGAAGAGCTTGAAACTTTAGCTTTGCTCGTCAAATCCGCCACCTTGCTAGCAAGATTCACTTATTGCCACATCCACCAACTAGCCATTATATTCAACCGTCAGTCGGCATGGTAATCAGCAGCTGTGTTGGCTATTGCGGACACTTGGCGTTTTGCTTGGAGGTGCCCTGACTGTTGGAGACGTTGATGGTTTCGCCATATACATGTATGACGGACTGCGCCTTGCAGTTGTACAACCCTTCAAGTCATTCTAGGCTGATGTTTTCTGGACACGACAGTCGCTGTCCTGACATCACACATTGTGCAGGAACACAGGTGAAGCTCAGGTACAGAGGCCATGACGTCAGTATCTTAGGTATCACGTCACACCTTGATCCTATAAAATGAATGAACTTGCGTGATTGTTGTGAATGAAAAGGTTGTCCGGACCAATGTGACCAAGTGGCGTGACCATGATTATCCAATCAAACCGCGCTAACCGAGGTTCAACCCCAGACGACACCGGTCAACCTTGTACGTCACACGTGTGTTGTACGAGTGTTGTATCGTATGTTCGTTTACCATGTGGGTGATAAAGCGATATATTGCTGCAGTCACATCCATTAACAATGCTGTACAGACCAGTGTGACGTCATAACATGACGTCACAATCAAATGCTATCACAAATCTTGTTGCTACTGAAGCTGAGTTGTTGCATTTGTAAGACTTGGTCTGGTGTCTTCATTGATAATGAAAACAGAGAAATTTCTTGTCAATATTTGCTGCTGAGCTTGCAGCAGACATCGAAGCCTTGCGTTGGATTCATTTTTTTAAAGACCTCTGTCAGCGGCCATATTTCAGTGATTCTGCCAGTGCTTTACATGAAATTCGACCAGGTTTTTTTTCCCAGCGAGGCAGGGCTTAATCAATATTTTACTCGACTTTTTCATGAATTAAGTAAAGATCTTTTAGATGTTGAATTTTTATGGATACCTGCTCATGTTGGACCACTTGGAAATGAGAAAGCTGATAAATTGGCAAAAGGTACATTAGATTTGGAAAACAAATGGTTTTGTTATTAATCATTTGTGTCTTTTCACGTTTGTACATTCACAATGTAGGAAAGGATTAATTTCTTAACGCAGTATATTTACGTTTTAACTAAGAGACAGGCTATATGCAAGTTAATGTGTAAAAGTTGTGTGTGGAATTTGTCAGTGTCCGTCCCATTGATGGACAGGTGTCACTCTCCTGTCACATGTTGCTTCATGTTGTGTCAGTTTCACAAGCCGTCGTCACGATCCGAGCCTGATGAAGACCGCCAGTCTTCAGCATCTGACAGACTTACCTTAATTTTACACGGCTGGATACACGGGGAGAAAATGTGGAGATAAAAATAAACCAGTAGGTCACAACAGATTGTGCGTTGGCTTGAAACGACGACATACTGCAGATTTACAATGCAGTGACATTCTGGTATGAAAGGGTTGTTCGGGCTTACACTGTGTGGGTATGACGAAAGTACACAGATGCAGCTCACTAGCTCATCAGGAAGGCCGTGGGGTAGCCTAGTGGTTCATGTGTCCGCTCGTCACGCCGAAGACCCGGGTTCGATTCCCCATTCGTCGTGAGGTCAAAGATTGGGATGCTCATACATCAAGACTGAAGCTTCAAAGATACTTCACTTACTAATGAGTTAGCTTTTCACGCGTTCAGTGTATCCAGAATCAAAACGTTTATTTTCTTAGAATCTTTTAAAATTGAAACACGTCATAGTCCTATGGTACTACTACAGCTATGTGTGCTAATTGACAAGAATCACTGATATCACACAATACCAAAGCCAATGAGTCATAGGCTACTGAATTCTCGAGCCAGTGTTAATGTAATATAATGAGACCAAGCGCCTTGTAGCCTCTAGTGCAGAGTAAATACACACTTGACTCCAGAAGATGCACCAACTGCCCAAATCAGCTTATGTCTCGAATGACGTCTGAGATGCAATAAGCACATGAACAAAAATGAACAAAATTTTCACATTCAATAAACAGGAAGCACATGGGAAGTTGGCTGTCTGAGTGAAACAAACGGTGATTCATAGCCCTGATTCGATTAGATTATATTTGTAGCTACCGGGAGACAGTTTCCTGGTAGGTACACGTATCCATCAGCTTGTCGTACACGTCATAACACATTACAGATTGGCATCATACTCCGCGACACTTCATGATCAATCTCATTCTGATGTCTGACGTTATTTATTAATTTTGTTTTTAAAGATACGTTTTTTGTGTTTAAACAGTGTGAATACTTCTTGTTTTGTACCACGGGGTTTAATCTACCTGATGGTATTCGGGGTTAAAACAATGTATCTGTGGATTGGGTGGTCTGACTCTCACGTTTGATGGGGCGGTGGGTTAGCCTTGCGGTTAAAGCGTCGGCTCGTTCGATTCCCCTGCCCATTCTAGTGTATAATCCTGGAATATTGCTAAACGCGGCGTAAAACTAAATTCACTCACTTTTGTTTGATGTAAGTGACAAGTTTGACTCAGAAAGTATTGTGAAAATGTACAAACTTGTGTGTGTCTCGGTATTGTATGAACATAAACACATGCCAAGCTCACCTATTCGTGTACCCGCACAGTAGGAGCTGCTAGAGAAGGTAGCTGGTGTCGTCATCTGTCTGCTGTACCGTATATCTCTCGCTGAGAACCATAGACATACTCACTGTACTGCAACAATCTCTTCTTCTGTTCCAGGTCTCCTTGTAAGCACCAAGGGCCAAGACCCAGGTAAGCACTCACTTAATATTCTTTGTCAAATTGTCTACTTACAAAGTTAAACATAAATAAACAATGGATGGTGCATGCAATTCAGATTGACCAATATAAAACGGAGTTTTTGGTCAAGTGTTTATAATTTACCATATCATCATGAAATCAAATGCTTTTCATATCTCAACCATTCATATAGATGTGCATTCTACACATTGTAAGGAGTGTAACCTGTTGTAAATTAAAATTACAATTTCCCTGAGGGAATTTCTGAATTATTTTCTTAAAAACACCGCAACACCTGCCTATTTGAGTCAGGTCGTGCGTCATTTGTCGATCTAGTTCCTGGTGATGTCGGGGATTTGGACGAAATCTACATACATATAGGGATAAACATGCGGTGATCATGCCGTGTATTTGGCTGTGTGTACAGGGTAGCATCCATTATATATAGATGAAGATCTGTGTAGCATAGGCTCCGTTCTGTTGAACATCAACCAGGCAGCATGTACTATATGTATATATACTCTTTAAAAAAAATAGGGGAACCTGAACTTTCAATTTGGATAGGAAGTATAATCGTTAACTAACTTTTCAAAGACAGACATCTCGTGAACGCACCACCATTTCTCTATATCACCGCCCCTAAACACAATGCATGGGATGCACGTGCACAACGCAGTAACCCCCATACACGTGCATGGGGTGTCATTCTTTATTTTGACGGTTTTCAAGAAGGTCGATAAATCACTGAAGATCATTAATTTTGACAATCATCTTCCATCACACAGTTGTTAGTGTTTGTTTCTAATCGTTTTTTTGTTGTTGGAAAATGAAAATCGTACTTTTGCAAATTCCACGTCATACACCGATCATCTTTCAAGATGAGGTCATAAGGAAGTATAAGCGTTGATGCATACTCAAAACATTCATTATTATTATTTCGACATTGATCCGATATATCTCCCAATTTTGTTAATCGTAAATTAAAAATGAAGTTCTCCTACATTTTTTAAGAGTATGTTAAACAACTTGATAATGTGTATCATACATCACGCTCAGATGCTAATTATTCTGTGAACAACTGAGTGATAATGTGCATTATGAACATTTAAACACCATCCAGACGTTGTAAGATATACCATGTACAATTACACAATACGTAGTCTACACGGCATGAACTATATTCTTGTCTATGTCTACATTCATAAAATCGTTTCCGATATGATCTCTGGAAGAGTGGCATTTCTAAGAAATGACAATTCTATACACTTACAAGCCTGACCCGTGAAGGTCCGGGTGAGAATTGATCTTCAGTAACCCGTGCTTGTCGTAAGAGGCGACTAACGGGATCGGGTGGTCAGGCTCGCTGACTGGGCCGACTCATGTCATCGTATCCCAATTGCGTAGATCGATGCTCATGATGTTGATCATTTCTTTTACCATCTTGATACGTTTGAAACAGTATTCAAATTTGAACATTACTTTTGTCCGGGGTATTTAGGACGTGCTTCCTGCATAAGTCTTGTACTCGAGTGTCTTCCTACAATTGTATTAATAATGAGCTTGTACTCGAGTGTCTTCCTACAATTGTATTAATGAGTTTACAGTGAGACATATGACTGTGTATTGAAACTAAAGTGACTCTTTGTGTTCTATATACAGCCCCCACGGTTGTGAGGGCCAATATTAATGTAGTTTTGGAACCAGAAGCAAAATCAGCGCTTATCCTATCAGGTGATGTATATTGTGGGGTATAGGGGTGGATAACAGGGTGCTTCGGGTAGCTTCACCTTAGCCTAGAATCATGAAGATTGGAGACATTAACTAGAGATTCCCGTAGATGTCCCCATGTAGTGTATAGGTTATTCCACCTTGTGTCATATACTGACTGTCTGTATAGGTAGGGTTTAAACCCGCTTGTAACAGTATTCAGGTTACATCACGGAGTTCCAGCTGAACGGGAAGAGTGAGTGAGTGAGTGAGTGACTTGGGTTTAACGCCGACTGTATCAGTATTCCGGTAACATCACGGATTGTCAGATGAATGGGAAGAGAACTCGAAGTGATGCCTTGGATGGTATCGTTGGTGAAACCGATGTGGTTCTTATTCAGCTAGAAACAATCTTGCGAACGGGATTCGAATCCACAAGCATAGGTTTCTTAGGTGCTCAAAGGACATAACTCTGTTCAGCGGAAACACGGCTGTTCATTTTAAGTACCATTGCTTGCGTGTGTTGTGTCGTCAAAATATATCAGCCGTTTTCAGATGTACTTACCGCGGTTTCGACACGACTGTGTCAAGGTGAAGGGTACTAGGGTTGGGATTTGTTGCAATCCTCCATCTTCATTCAGCTGTCAGCTGTAATTTGCTTCATTTTTTTTCAACTTCAGCTTCGTAAAACGTAATTTGCAAATACTAAAAAAGTTGCTGTTTATCGCATCTTACAAACAAACAACAAGCGCTACATGCTTTCCAGCCGTTACTATTAGCAACCTTGCATTAACTGCAGAGGTGGACTGATTCATAAGTCGGACAGGTGCTTGTGGGGTTGAATACTAGGACCATCAGCGTGATTGAGACAATGGGGAAGGGAATTCCATTTGAAGGACTTCCCGTGTTTCCCAGCAGGTGGCTAACTGGGCCAGGTGATCAGGTGCAATGACTTGTGTGATCGCCTTGTACCACGACAACGTGGACAGGTGCTCACAATATCAATCACTATGTTGTTTGTTGTATCGATAATTTACAGACGTTGTTAAATTGCCTCACACTAACAAAATGAACTGAAAAATGTAAATATTCAAAGAACTATATATCAAGGACATGCTAGGACCGACACTGAGTATATTTCACATCAGATTATAAAGTCTCAGTTAATTTTAAAAGAGGTGAAAGTACGTTTCGTATGAGATTTTACATACGGGTATATTTAGATATACTCTTGTAGCTGTTCATCTATATTTTGTAATATAACTATGCAATTCCTTCCATCTATGATTTGATTATCATTATTATTATGACGGTAACGCTGAATGCTTCGCTTTGTTCCACCATGCAATACTATTGTTTGTTAAGCATCTCTTTGTTATACTGGCCGAACCTAACTATTCATAAAGTTTTTTTAATATGAATTTTGGATCGATTAAATGTCAGCCGAAAGGTAAATCATCTTGTGCAGAATATCTATTGTGTGTTGTTTTAAATGCATTTTAATTCGTACTGATTTAATAGGCTTGCCTCATGCATCACAGTGTAATTTATTGCCAAATAATCACTTAAATCAATGTGCGATTGGTGTGTTTACAAAGCCTGGAATGTAGCGTATTAGGGTCACTGCAGCTTACTCTCATAGACATTGTAACAAAACGGTTGTGTTGGACTCAAGGAGCTGCCAGTGTCCCTGACATCACTGCTGGTGACGTCACGACCACCACGGCATCAGGTCAGTACGACATCACCAACACTACCTCCTCGCTGCCTGGCAACATGTAATAAAGTCCAACTGAGGATTTTATACTTGATATTTTTTTCAAAATATATTTTCAAAATGCCACTCAAAGAAGGTATCACGTGTTAACACTAAGTATTTTTTCCCATAAATTCATTCAGAGGAAACACGTATCAACATATATGATACCCGCTTAAACATTTTATCGATTTTTATCTTCTGATATTGGAGTCATTGTTTATTAATCTCTAAGTCAACACTTTTGAAAACAAGATCCTATTACAAATTAGGATTCATACATCATTTATGAAAGACGTGTCCTTTTAATTTAACATCTTGGTTTGACAATTGAGGACGAACGAACTTGATTCATTATTTGAAAATGCAAAACATGTACCGTCCTGTATGTTAGGTTCGAACACAGACGTGATATGGGAGGCCGACCCAGATGGAACTGGGGGGTATCTTACAGAACACGGGAGGGGTTGTACCAACGGAAGGTATACACGTGTAAATGGGTGTTGTTTATACTGACACACCCTCTTGCTAGCTCAGTAGCACGTGCTTTGTTAACATATTCCTGCTAGTACCATAGCTTGCTAGTGTGACGCGTTGATTGTATGGCTAATATGTACGTATATGTACGTATATGCACGTATGTGTACGCATGTGTATGTATATGCACGCATGTGTGTGCGTATATGTGCGTATGTGAGCGTATGTGCACGTATATGTGCGTATGTGTACGTATATGTTGGTATGTGTACGTATGTGTACGTATATTGACAGCTTGTAGCTTCCTGTGTATTTACGTGTACTTTGACAGCCTCATGTGATATTCACATATGTGTGAATACTCTACACACCATGACAATAGTAGATCTCCGCTTCTAGGCATGAGGGGTTGGCTGTAGTGTTCTCCAAGTGCTTGTGTGTTTACAGTGTCGTTGCAGAGCATGTGGCTGTCATGTGACATCTAGATGAGCTTTGCGAAACTAGATCACAAGTAGTATCAGCTTTCATATATCCATCTCTCTCTCTCCCTCTCTCTTTCTTTCTCTCTCTCTCTCACACACACACACACACACACTCTCTCTCTCTCTCTGTTTGTTGTATAATTTACAGCTATACGCAGTCTGCCTCTGCCCGTCTCTATCTCTGTGAGTGTGTCTCTCTATCTCACTTCCCCGTCTCTATACCTCTCTCTCCATCTCTATCTCAGTGTGTGTGTGTGTGACTCTCTCTCTCTCCCCCGTCTCTTTCTCCCTATGTCTCTCATTCTCTCTCTGTGTCTCTCTATCCCTATGTGTGTCTCTCTCTCTGTCTCTGTCTCTCTGTTTCTAGTACAATGGGCAGCTAAAGGCTTTGTTGCTGCTCAATATAGGTGCCATCAGTACCTCATAGTTTGGCTTAAGTCACTGGTATATATTGTTCTGCAGCAGTGGATGTGAATGTTTATACACGTGCGTGCGCTTTTCGTTTTGCTTCTTATAGACAAATACTAGTTAAATTTGAGGAAGAAAACATACAAGTACAAGCGACTGCGGGTAAACGTGGTGTCATTAGACATATTGGTTCATATGCTCTCACATAACGAAACCTCTTGGACGATCGAACATACTAATCCGCTTACAGCAACCAAGGGAGGTAACTCTAACTCCCACTGAATCTGCAGTAAGGCCACCCTATGCCGACTTCACTTGTTCCTGGTGACAATCATCAGATACCAACTTGAGTTATGTACTGCCACAATATGTGCCACCTGCCTGACCGAGCTGTACACGGATACCCGCCACGTGTACGTCCGGACAGAACAATAATCATTTAGATGTGTTCCTTGTCCTACATTCCGTTTTAAAGAATTTTACAAAAGCATAATAAATGTTAAATGCAGTTAAAACGCCAAGTAATGACTTGGCTAGACAGCGAGAGTGATGTAACTAATTGTGTATCCTGTTGCCTTGGTGACGCCTTGACCCCAGCGAAAATTGAATGAATCCAAGTTTGAATTATCACGTTACATTACATCAGCTATTGAAATGTAGCACTGTACTGTGTTCAATTTTGATTTTATTAGTTTTTATTTCGTAAAAAATGTTTGTTTTTAGTACTTCTTTAGACCAAATGTTGGCCAGAGTGTCGTATACGCTAGTGCTACACGTTCATAATTCTCGCATCTACATTTCCATGATTCCTGTTCAGGACAGGACAGAGATTACTAAACCATCGCTTGCTCCCACGCAGTGTGTGCCTAGATATTATAGCTTTCAGTGTACTTTTGCATAAAATGTATGTCTAACTGTAGATGCTTTTGTTGTGTTTCGTATCTGTGTGTCCGTCGATGTGTTTTTTGTATTATGAAAAACGTGTAGTAAAATTGAATTTTGAGTAACATTAAACGTAATGAATATTTGAAAATCTATCTATTCATATGAATGAGCAATTTCTTATTCTTAGCAATAAATGCGACAAAATATGTAAGTGATTGTGTTACAAGTGGATTTCAAATATTGTTGATGCATGGAATGGTGGCCTCGCTACCTATATCCTTTAGTTAAGGTTATGCCGATGTTGATTGTTAAATGTAATTAGTGGGCTTCCACCGGTGATAATTGTGATTCTGTAATGTGCTACCGGTTAGTTGTCCAGCTTTTTCTTTGATGACGTGATTTCTTATTTGACGTAACGTTTGCAAATGATAATATGACCAAGGGCGGTGATTACGGTGGCTGCAATGGTGATATTTGTAAAAGCAATATCCTTCCACCTGCTCCCGTCGTGGTAACAACAGCGGGCAGGTAAGTACCTCAATGTGTCACTGATTGGACCAATCTACACCATCGTTGCTGTATGTTTTTCAGCGACATCATCAACAGTTGCACCAACCACAACAGAAGCAGCAACTACACCTGCCGCCGGAGCGACCGACCCTCCAACAACAGCGGCTGCGACCGACACTACTGAAGGTAGTCTACAGCAAACTGGATGTGTTGATCATATATGCAATGACCAAATTGACTCTTGCAGACTTTTGTGATTTGCAGTTTCGTATTCAGAGATGTCATAAATCATTGAAATAATTGTCCGTGAACTCATTGAATACCTTTGCGATGTATACTGCGTTTGAAATATCGCTTAACTCCGCAACTATCATTCTGATGTTTCTGTCACAGAGATGTGGTTCCTTCATTGATGTTCAGATGTCCCACTGTTGTAAGTCAAGCAGTTCAGATGGTGTTGCATGTGGTGATTGTATAGTGAGAAGTTGCTGGGCAAGCCCAATGGGTAGCGTTCGATTCACTACACGAGTAAAATATTTCTGATGTTGCTGACATTGCTGGAACATTGTTAAAACAAAACCTAATTCTCTCACCAACTCTCTTCACTCCGCCACACAATCACTCACTCACTCTGTTGCAGCTGTAACGGCCTCAACAGCACAGCCAACGACATCAGATGCAGCAGGGTCAACAGCCGAACCAACAGCCGAGCCAACAACAACAGATGCGGCAGGGTCAACAGCCGAACCAACAGCCGAGCCTACAACAGCACCTGCTGAATCAACAACAGCGGCTGTTACAACAGCCGAGCCTACACCGACAGCAGAACCCACTACTCCAGCAGGTGTGTGCAGGAATATCTGCGACATCTCCGACCAATACAATATGTGTACATTACGTTTAATATAATTTGTATACTTTAATACTTTATTAATACTTAATACTTGTATTTGTTTCATGTGTACAATGTCAAACTCACACACAGAGTATATAATCAATTCTAGCCGGCACTACCGAAGCTTCTACTGCTGAACCAACGACTTCCGCAACAGCGGAACCAACAACCACAGGTCATTTGTTGTTTTACCTTTGCCTTTCATCTCTGCTCCCTAGCCTGTCCTTCACCTTTCATCTCTGCTCCCTAGCCTGTCCTTCACCTTTCATCTCGGCTCCCTAGCCCGTCCTTCACCTTTCTTCAGCATGTACTGGGTTCTGTCTCAAGGTCTTGGATCACTCTTCTCTGACTCTCATTGGTGAACGGTAGCTAGGCTGTCTTTATGCTTCATAGTGATAGTTCCGAGAACGTAGGCTGCCTGGATCCTGAACATGATTACACTAGTGAACACCTGGACCTAGATTTTGGAAGCTCTCCTGGCTCTAAGATAGTCGTAAGTGTCATATATTAACAATAACTTACGACTATCTTAGCGCTAAGAGAGCTTCGAAGCTCTAGGCCCAGGAGTCAGCGCTGCTAGTCGTCATATTAACAATAACTTGTTACGCTATAGGCCCAGGTGTCAGCGCTGCTAGTCGGCATTCTACGCTTGAATGGGTTTCTCCTGCTTCTCCTCTAGAATAGACGTATTATATATTTCAAAGTATAAATTACGAAACGGTTGTCATTGAGGTACACATGCCGGAGGAAGTAGTGGGTGTTGTCGTAACTGAGAGTATGTACGGACTGACTCGTGATTAAGGGTGAAAAAGTTGAATGCATGCCTTGTCTGACTGACTGAGTTTGGTTTTACGCCGCTTGTAGCAATATTCCAGCAACATCACGGCTGGGGACACCAGAAATGGGCCTCACACATTGTAACCATGTGTGGATTCGAACCCGGGTTCTTCGGCGTGACGAGCCAACGCTTTAACCACTAGGCTACCCCACCGCCCCTTGTCTATATGTCAGTACCTTTGCCACTTAGGTGGCGGTACGTATAGTCAGAGTACCTCCCCCTAGCAGTGCCAGGATCCAGACTTCTGAGATTTGTATCTGAAACCTGCTCATAGTGCTGCGTTAAGTATTACATGTCTAAAACGTGTAGATAAATCATCACGGTATTCTGGATTATGTATTCGTTTAGGTGACACAGTCAGATTATTTACGTAGCAGTTGTTTGGTAAGTGTGAGTTTAGTTTTACGCCGCTCCAAGCAATATTCCGGCAATATGACGGCGGGGGACACCAGAAATGGGCTTCACACATTGTACCCATGTGTTTGGTAGGAAGTATTGACGTACTTTGCGTGTGCAGTTCTGGTGTACTGATCAGTCAGGGTCTTATACCTGTTCTGCAGATCCTGCAAACACCAACTGTCTGAGTCGTATTGAATATTCTATTTTCTATTGCGCTGATATATGTCGAAATATAGCGTGTTGCTTTTCGTGTAATGATAGTACTTTGCATACAGGAACAGCAACTTCGACGGCAGCATCCTCAAGTACAGCAGCGACAGCAGAGGCAACAACAACAGGTTCATGCATCTTCTGTTTCTCTCGTTTGAACTTGCAGAATTGTACAGCGCCACTGAAGAGGCTCGATAATTGTGTTGTAAATACGTGTGTTCTGTCCCGTCAGTATACGTTGTTCCCAATATCTGTTGAATATTGACTTAGTTGTACTTCGTTGTAAACTGCGATGTCTTGTCCAAGTGTATCAGTAAATATTTAGTTATTATTGCTTTTACTAATGATTTAACGTAAATATTAATGTACTCATAGAAAACATTAATATGTTAATATATATATATATGTATATGTATATGTATATGTATATGTAGCCGGGTCAAGCACAGCTGCAACGACTGAAGCTTCAACAACAGCAGCAACAACCGATGCTGTTACAACAGCAGTAACAACCGAGGCTGTAACAACAGCAGCAGCAACAACCGAGGCTGTTACAACAGCAGCAGCAACCACGGAGGCTGTAACAACAGCAGCAGCAACTACGGAGGCTGTAACAACAGCAGCAGCAACTACGGAGGCTGTAACAACACAAGCAGCAACCACAGACGCTGCTACAACAGCAGAAACAACACCTGCTGCCGAAACAACAGAAACGGCAACGACGGAGGCTGTTACGGCCACAACATCATCATCAGTTACTGAAGCAGTGACAGCAGCAGCGACTACAACAGGTTTCTGAAGCACCGACTTCGTCCTGCACGTCTTTCTTGATCCTTTCTTTTCTTCTGTCAACAGGCGGGAACAGGGCTAACAGAATGCACAGGAAGCGTTGCACGCGCTCTATCCTCATTAGCGCTTAGTCAGCAAATACGTTATTCAAATACGTATAACATATGGAAAAAACCGTTTGGCTTTCTTTGACCTAATCACTTGCACACATATTGTCTCAAAGGATGCATGTTCCCTTTCTTCTGTTTTGAAACGTAAGAGACGCTTTAAGAGGTTAAACTACAACTTAAGGCCTAGACGTTGTGAACAGTGTTTGAACCTGAGGCATTGAACTTTGTGTGATGAGCGTAGTAATTACAATTTGTTGGTCTTCGGGAAGGCGACTAACGGGGTCGGGTTGTCAGGTTGGTTGACTTGGTTGCTGGGGCTTATCATATCTAATTGGTGATGTCAATCACTGGATTGTATGGTCCAGACCAGGCAAAACATGCAGTGGGTGTTTCAATGTTTCAACTGGGTGGTACTGGGCAAAACATGCAGTGGGTGTTTCAATGTTTCAGCTGGGTGGTACTGCGAATTAGCATTTTGTTACTTTTGTTTCTTACAAAACAATATGTTTCTGTGTCACAGTGCTAAATCCTTTCAGACAATATGATTGTTTTAGATAGTCAAACACCGTTGTGTCGAACCTTGGATGTACGGCTTTCTCGAAATAGAGGTTTGGTGGTCCCCATGTAGTCCTTCCTTATTGGTCATCTTTGGTCTAACCCGGAATGACCCGTGAAGATCCGGGTTAGAATTGATCTTCAGTAACCCCCGCTTGTTGTAAGAGGCGACTAACGGGATCGAGTGGTCAGGCTCGCTGACTTGGTTGACACATGTCATCGTATCCCAGTTGCGTGGATAGGTGTTCATGCTGTTGATCCCTGGATTGTCTGGTCCAGACTCGATTATTTACAGACCGCCGCCATATAGCTGTAATATTGCTGAGTGCGGCGTACAACTAAACTCACTCACTCGAACCCGGAATACTCGAAGTATTCAAATAGGTCCCTCCAACTTCGACACAAGGGTGTTTGTAGGTATGACTAACACCACTGTTATCTGTAGAGTGTTTACGGTATGCACGTCGTATACTGACATGAGACCGCTCAAGATGTCCCCTAACTACCATGTGTACTTCTTTGTTGTCAACTTGTCACGGGAAAATGCTACTGTCTTGGGTGCCACAATTCTCAGCTACTGCGTTGATTAGGACAGTGCTTACGGTGTTTGATCAGCATGTGTTGGATCATGGGTGGAATCCCATTTGGGTTTGGTTTACTGCGAGTTGAGTCAATCCAAACAATGTTTCGTCCGCGAATCCCTCATCACTCGTTCAAGCATGCTTTCAAATATTATATAATATAAACACTGGACCGAATGACACCTGATTAATCTAAGCATGCCTTAACAGAGCCTTACCTCTGCACCCTTTCAAAAATACTTTAAACACTCATATCATAAAAGGTGAGATCAACATGACACCTGATTCAACTAAGCATGAGTTAAAAGAGCCTTAGAGTTACACCCTTTCAGACATACTTCAAAACCATAGCATAGAAAGTGAGGCCAAAATCACACTTCATGTGAAGGAGCGTGTCTGATCAGAAGTATAGACTTCAAGATGAAGATGCTGATTGAAACGAATGAAATCTCATGTAAATTGTATCACATGGTGCCGACTTAAGATATATATTTGCGTGCTAGGAATGGTAAACTGAACTCTTTAGTACAATGGACTAACCAGCTCCCCCACTGGGTCCAGACAACGCCCTGAAATCCCGGACAATGTTTTCTGTAACTGACCAGTGTTCAAGGCACACCGCCCAGGCCCTACTGAGAATCTGCTGATTCAGCGAACCTGCTACCTGTGGTTCAATGTTGTGTGTTATATTTGTAGCGGACGCAGGCACTACAACGACCCCAGCTGTGACTGTTTCAACTGCAACGACTACAGTCGCTACTGCTTCGACCACAACAGCTGCAACAACCACAGCACCACCTGCTACGACCACAGCAGCCCGTGTTACCACAGCTGCAGCGACAGGTATGTCGACACGCTATGTGTAGTGACGGGTGAACTGTCTGCTGAATTGTCTAAACATTCAGATGATTTTGAACTTATGATCGGTTCCAAATATTTCATATAAATGCAGAGGTCTTTCAATTTACATTTGGTCACTTTATGCTGATATGAAAAGACCGCCTCTGTGGAGTAGTGGTTAGAGCGTCCGCCCGGAGAGCGGAAGGTCGCGGGTTCGATCCCCGACAGCGTCATACCAAAAGACGTTAAAATATGGTACTTGTTGGTCACTGCCTGGCGCTCGGCATTAATGGGTACATCAAGGACTGGTCGACTCGGAGTCAGTATAATGTGTCTGAGTGGGGTATTCATGCTTCACTGCGGCATGGTATCTCAATGGGCTAGCACTATAAAACCAGCTTCAGTCTGGGTTAGTACAAACAATCGCACATACACATACACACGCATGCACGTCGTCATATGAGCGAAATATTCTCAAGCACGACGTTAAACCCAAATTCACCTCACATCACCTCACATCACCTCTGATATGAAAACTGAAACTGAGGGTGAACTCTCTTAGAGTGTTTCTTTATATGCAACTGTCTATGGCCCAGATAGGGTTAAATGTAGGGTTGTTTGGAGACAGCCTTTGGTTGGAGATGAAGGTTGAGGTGGGGTTAGAATTAAGGTTAGAGAAGGGATTAGATCATTTCACATCGTAAAGTCAGTAATTATTAACCGATGTCACGAACAGTGTTTCAAGTTTGTCTTGCTTTTTTGCTCATTAGAAGTGATCATACCTGACAATACGTACGCAGAACACAAACCTAGAAAGATGGTACCGCCATATAGCTGAGTGCGGCATAAAACAACAAACAAACAAACAAACAAACAAACAAACAAACAGAAAGATGGTTCATTTCGCACGGCACTATTAACGTGGTCGGATTCCTCTAGCAGGCTTCTGTTCTCCATCATCTGACATTTGCAAAAGGAGGCGTCCCTATGATGGCATATTGTTGCATGCGGTGTAAAACAATACTCACTCACTTCCATGTTACTTCCACAGCGTCAGGGAACACCTACACTCCAGGAAGTCTAGCTGCTAAGAACGAAGTGCGCAGACTCATGCGTCTCGCCGGTTACATGTCGGACTTCATCGAGAAGATCATCAACATGATGCCGCTGATCACACCGGAGGAGTTCAAGGTCGCCCAGGCTGGAGTTGAGAAGATCCGGGGTACCCCCCAGCCCCCGACCACCCCTGCACCCACACCTGCACCAACCCCTGCCCCCACCCCCGTGCCAACATTATCTCCAGTGATCAATACCAACGTCCTTCCACAGAAACCTTCCTACCCAACCAATCAGTTCAATCCTTACAACCCCTACAACCAATACCAACCCAACTACAACCGACAGGTCATCAACAAATATGGACAGCCCACCATTCCACAGAACACGAACACTCCAACAAAGACCTGGCCGTCGTATCCCAGCTCTGGCCAGAACACATGGTCTCAGCAGAACAGCCAGCAGAACAGTCAGCAGAACACCCAGCAGAACACCCAACAGACCGGTCAGCAGACCGGACAGACCCGTTGGCCTACACAGCAGACCGGACAGACCAGCTGGTCAACACAACAGACCGCAGCTCCACGTCCGCAGGTTCCCCAGCCAAGTCAGAACGCCTGGAACATGCAGAACAAGGTCCCTGGTAAGGATGCTTTGAACTGCTATGGGAGGACGTGTGTACTTTCTTTTGTACGTCAGATTAGTTCATCAACAACAAAAGTAATGATAGCAGAGGTAAGATTATTCAATGGATGACGAAACGTCACGTCGTAACAGAATATGAAAACACATATAAAGGGATCACTATTTCTATATTGATTCATAAACAAATTCTTACGATTCTTACGTAAGATGCTTATGCTGTTGATCACTGAATTGTCTGCTCCAGGCATGATTATCTACAGATCGCCGCCATACAGCTGGAATATTGCTGAGTGCGGCGTAAAACTAAACTCACTCACTCACAGTACCGGTAGCCACTTGGGACTGGGAAGTGATGATAACGGTTGCTTGGTAACTGTGTTTGTGCCTACACCGAAACGTCGCACTCACTACAATAAAGAAGTTGACTATCCACCTGGTTTTCCATCAAATTATTACGATATTGTCGGAATTGTGCTATTGTTTATGCTTTAATAGAGCTTTTTCATGAATGTGTTTTGTCAAATATATTAATTGTTACTTTCTAATCCAAAAGTTAAACACAAAATATATTCCTGATAATAGTTGTTCACCTGTTGGTATTTTTCTTCTTTTGAGATATGATATTGTAGCTTCTTATAAACGAGTCAGTCGCTCATTAACGAGTCTACCAGAGGGAATCCTGAGGACACGCGCCTCAGCTGAATAATTGTTGATAGTCTTTGACTGCTAAGTGCAGCGATAAACAACATACTCTGGGGCTCTGCTCTGGCCAACACTACCCTCAGGGTGCAACACCATATCACGGGCGACGACATATGTCGTAAATATTTGATTTGTGTTATCATGGCGCTGGCCTAAGCTCGTAAATATGGAACTGATTCACGAATACATACTGTATCAAACTAACATCATTAATCATTCCTGTCTTCCACTCCTAGCTTCCAGCCAGTACAACCAACAAAACACTGCCCAGAAACCTGGTTTCAACACACCGTACGGCACTCAGGGCATCAGGGCACCCACTTCCGGTCTGCCAGCAGGAGTTGACCCCTCCAAGATCCGTTATTTCGGCCAGCAGACCGGCACCGTGACGACGACGCGAGCCCCGACATACAGACCTTTCCCCGGATACCAGAACGTGCAGCCCTTCCAGCGTCAATCTTTCGGCCAAGGCTTCCCCTCTAGCTACTCCTCCATGTTTGGCAGAAGTCAGAACATGAACAGACCAATGCCCACTCAAATGGCTCAAATGGCACGGAGGCAGCAGCAGCAACAGCAGCAACAGCAGCAACGACAACCGCAACAACAGAACAATCCAAACGGTGAGTTAGTTACGGTAACAATACGACCTCATGTTACGAAGCGATCGTACGGCTACGACCGTCGTAAGTCAATGGTGATTTATGGAACCTACGATCGTCTCAACGACACGATTGTTTTGTAGAATACTGCCCTGAACATTCGAATTTAAGCAGAATAATTCATTTCCTTCATCACTTGCGTGTTTCAAATGAACACATCTGTAAAAATAATCAGTCTTTCAAATTATCACATTTTATACAAACAATTTTGTGATATATTTCTTTAATCTCTACAGGAAATTGAAATATTTCCAAATACATGTCATCAAATCACAATAGTCACTGAATAATGAAACCAGCCTGACAATTTTATCAGCACTCAAAACTCTCTGCCTCTCTAATCTGACTGTGAATATTTCTCTAATCTCTAACCTGACTGTGAATATTTCTCTAATCTCTAACCTGACTGTGAATGTTTCCCTAATCTCTACTCGAACTGTGGATATTTCCCCAAGCTTTGAACAGACTGTGAATATTTCTCTAATTTCTACACGAATTGTGGATATTTCTCTCATCCTTGAACGCACTGTGGATATTTCTCTTATCTCTACACGAACTGTGGATATTTCTCTAATCTCTACACGAACTGTGGATATTTCTCCAATCTTTGAACGGACTGTGAATATTTCTCTAATCTCTACACGAACTGTGGATATTTCTCTAATCTCTGAACGGACTGTGAATATCACACAATATGATATGTATACATACTTTGAACACTTCGTCTGATTTCTAACTGACCTGTGACTATTCTGTAATACATTTCATCAAATGGAATTCGTCACTGGTAAACTAATACTACTTGAACTAGAGCCGGAACAGTGAAACTTCATACCGTAACTGGAGGACACATTGAAACAGTGATGAAAGGCGTTGTCATGGAAACAACACATTTTTTCTGTATCATGAAGGTTGTCGTTTGTGTTTGTGGACATATAGGGAGACAGGCAAAACTGACTTTAGATTTTGGTATTTACGGTAACACTGAATACCGAGTTACATCTCCACTCCAGAATTCAGCATTATTTCTACGCACGATTGTTGTGACATATATACACCATGTATTACCTATTTTAAGCATGTGCTGGTATCGTACAAGTCTCGGAGTAACATACACTTCCGCAGATATTGGTCAGGGTGCCGTTGTACAAAACAACCAAAGCGCCAAGACTACGTTAGGTTATGTTAAGGTATGGGAGTTACGGTCACCTTATCGCTAAGAAAGCTCTGTACAACGGCACCCAGTGCAGTAAGACGTTTTAACATAGGAGAAAAACATCATGTGTTGGCCAATTCCGGGTGTTATTGAGTACTTCAAGCACGGGAAATCATTTGGAACCGACGGCGTTAGCCGGAGGTTTCAAATTAAATATTCCCGTGCTTCAAATACTCAATAACACCCGGAAATTGGCCAACACATGATGTTTATCGACATTGTAAACACAAAAGTAAACCATGGGTTTACTGTCTGCACTCACTGACATCGTGTACGGGTACAGCAGTGAAGTGTCATCAGCTGGCCGTTTCAGCTGGTTCCCATGGTAGCATCTGGAACTGCTCATTTGTGACGTCATTCCGACTTGACGTCACAATATGATTTGAATGACGTTACCACTGCTGACGACGCCTCAATACAATTGTGTGCGATATTTGTGTTTATCATCCAAAACTGTGTTCCACAGGAGATATCGCTTGTGTGTGAGATCAAACGATATCTCCTAGGAGATATCGTTTTGACAGTAGATTTTGTACAATGCCCTGACAATGCTATGACGTCATGTACTTGATGACGTCACAATGCTATGACATCACTGCACTGCAAGTGTAATGGCAATACCATGTTCAGAGATGTACATTTTTCATTGAAAATTAATGAAGAGTGATTTTGGATGATAAATAGAATCTCACCCTCGTGTCTTCTGATATCAAATATATCAACACTCGTTGATAAAGTAAAAAATATCCTCGGCAAGCCTCGGATATTTGTAACTTGATCAACTCGTGTTGATATAATTGATATCAGAAGACACTTGGGTGAGATTCTCTATTTGTCAATACGCAGTGAATAGTCTTGCAGTTTCCGGGATTCGAATACCATTCGATCATGTTTTCCAACCAATCAGATTAAAGAATACGGTGACTTTTTGTTTACAATATATTTTAATTTATAATTACCTTTTCATATTTAATTACATTTTCATTTATAATTACATTTTCATTTGTAATTACATTTTCATTTATAATGACATTTTCATTTATAATTTCATTTTCATTTGTAATTACATTTTCATTCATTATTACATTTTCATTGTTATATTTCAGTTGCTGCAATAGTTTTGAACGGTAAGTCAAACGCGTTATCTATGCCAAACTTGTTAATATATACTATCCGTCTAAAGTTTACACTCACTTAAAGCACCTTTAAACACTATGGAATATTTTGCAAAGTCTAGTTTAGAACAGTTGACTGAAGTAAGTTACTACATTTACACTAGTGAGTCTAAACTTTTGATGGGTAGTATACAATGACAGGAGCGTGAGACGTATTGTAAGCGTTAATTAGTTATTTGTGTCAAGCGATTATGTTTTGAAAGATCATCAATATTTGTCACAGCTTGTTTTAAGGTAAATCTTTGAGAACCATGATAGCACTGTATGTAGAATTTGTATCTAACATAAACAACATAGAAAATGATTATATTTTTCAAGATGAAGTCTATATCTTAAATTCCTGAACATTTCATGCAAATTATCTCACAATCGTCATTTTCTTGTCTTTTAGCTTTACAAGTAGGAGGTAAGTGAACGAGGAGTGGTGTTTATTGATGCAATTTGCTTAAACTTCTGTTGAAATCAGTTTATGACAAATGTATAGATCGATATATGTATTAAATTGGAATAAGTAGTATTTTGTCTTAGGGTGAGTGAGTTAAGATTTAACGTAGCATCGGCAATATTGCAGCCACATAGCGACAAGCCTTTTGTCTAAGGCATGAGTTTTATGACGTCATCACTGATCTAACGCCATCTCAAACCCTCTCCGCAACATCTGAATTATAGAATTGATATTTATAAATATAACAACCTTGTAATTTCAAGTATTATCAGAGTAACAACAGTTCATGTATTTTTTCTTTTGCAGAGGTGAACCCTTCGATGCTACTTTTAAGTAAGTTATTTTTATATATGTTTATTATTTTGTAAGCGTTTGAACGTTTTATTTTAGTAGACACATGTAATTATTTAGATGCAAGGGGATTCATGTTACAGCGTTAACGTTCCTCGTTAGTCTATAACAGGCTGCATTAAATCTACCTGGAGTCCACGATGAGCGAGCTACAGGTCTGCCAGTGTGTCTTCAGATTCACCCTGATTAACACCTCAATCAGAAGGACACCGGGTTTCACATTTTGTGTCATACGTAACACCAAGCCAAATCCTTCGTCATGTGCTGTAAATCGTCTATTAGTCCCTTTTGAATTTACTTTTAATCAGTTTTAAAAAACTAAATCAATTGTTTTGCTGAATGGTAGTCGACGGTTTTCAATTCTTAAGGCTGGAAAATATCGCTTTTTGATTGGCTACTCTCGACTTCATCTCAGCCATTTCATTGGTGGGTCAAGGTTCGTGAAAGGCGAGACCTATAACAGATGTCTTCAAACCTTAGTGTTGCAGCGGCCAACGCAAAGATGTTGACGATATTTCTGTCTGTGCATGTTTTTCATTTCCTGGTTTTACGGATATTCCAACATATATTGATCGATATATATATCTAAGTAATCAATAGTTTGCGAGTTTGTTGTTTCTGTATAAATCCCATTAATTATGGAGCGGGCTGGTAAACAGATAGTGCGGTCGGACAGAAATATTTTCGTTTGACTGAACTTTCAACCAATTGCTTAAATACGAAATCCGATAACAGTTTCGCTCCAGTACAGTTTCAGTTAAGACAAGCATGTTTGATATCACACATTTCATCTCACGTTCCAGGTTTACCAAAACAAGCTCGGACTAATCCAGGTATGATGTCTTTCAGTGGCATTTAGCAGTTGTTGTGTATTGACAATTCAACTTTCAACTCTATTATTTAGCATGAATTTTCATCGTTATGTAATTAACTCTTCAAACTCACTTATATAGTACTCTCCCTAGTGTACTGTGATGTCACTTGCATTGTGACGTCATAACTCAGTTATGACGTCATAATGACGACGTCATAGTCCTAACTGTCAGTTCACCTGATGAAGGGACCTGGAATAGTCTCGAAACGTCGTGAGAGAAATTAAAAAAGAAGTTTAATCCATAAAAATATCTTGGTAATCCAGGTACGTCAAAATTGTTTGTCTGTAAAGAATTACGAATATTGTGTAGAAGTTCAGAGATTCAATCTCTCAAAATTAATATTTGTAACATTATTTGTAACCTGTTCATGTTGACTATATGTTACTATACCAGCGGATCACTAACTCTACCTTCACTTTATTTGCAGTTGTCCAGTCAATAATTGGTAAGTATGAAGACAAGCACCTGCTTATATTATAACGTTTGATATTATATAATTGTAGAAATGTGCTTCATTAAAGTAAGGTGAAAAGGACTCATAATCACCTTGATAACACGAGTAAGCAGTTGTATGGCTCAGGTATGGAATATTCAGCGTTAAATCACAGCAATCAACAAGGTTGCTGATGTATATCCCACAAATATAGCACTTAAAATTCCATCTATGTATAATGTGTGATTGGTTATATGAAAGTTATTATGCTTGGTTGAAGTAAATCGTTGATAAGTGTGGGCTTGGTTGAATGAAACGTGATACTGTGATGTATATTTCCCGGTGTGGTTGAATGTAACATGACTTGTTTGTAATACTGTGATGTATATTTCCCGGTGTGGTTGAATGTAACATGACTTGTTCGTGATAGAGTGATGTATATTTCCCGGTGTGGTTGAATGTAACATGACTTGTTTGTAAAACTGTGATGTAAATTTCCCGGTGTGGTTGAATGTAACATGACTTGTTTGTAATACTGTGATGTATATTTCCCGGTGTGGTTGAATGTAACATGACTTGTTCGTGATAGTGTGATGTATATTTCCCGGTGTGGTTGAATGTAACATGACTTGTTTGTAAAACTGTGATGTAAATTTCCCGGTGTGGTTGAATGTAACATGACTTGTTTGTAATACTGTGATGTATATTTCCCGGTGTGGTTGAATGTAACATGACTTGTTCGTGATAGTGTGATGTATATTTCCCGGTGTGGTTGAATGTAACATGACTTGTTTGTAATACTGTGATGTAAATTTCCCGGTGTGGTTGAATGTAACATGACTTGTTCGTGATACTGTGATGTATATTTCCCGGTGTGTTTGAATGTAACATGACTTGTTTGTAATACTGTGATGTATATTTCCCGGTGTGGTTGAATGTAACATGACTTGTTTGTAATACTGTGATGTAAATTTCCCGGTGTGGTTGAATGTAACATGACTTGTTTGTAATACTGTGATGTAAATTTCCCGGTGTGGTTGAATGTAACATGACCTGTTCGTGATACTGTCATGTATATTTCCCGGTGTGGTTGAATGTAACATGACCTGTTCGTGATAGTGTGATGTATATTTCCCGGTGTGGTTGAATGTAACATGACTTGTTTGTAATACTGTGATGTATATTTCCCGGTGTGTTTGAATGTAACATGACTTGTTTGTAATACTGTGATGTATATTTCCCGGTGTGTTTGAATGTAACATGACTTGTTTGTAATACTGTGATGTATATTTCCCGGTGTGGTTGAATGTAACATGACTTGTTTGTAATACTGTGATGTATATTTCCCGGTGTGGTTGAATGTAACATGACTTGTTCGTGATACTGTGATGTATATTTCCCGGTGTGGTTGAATGTAACATGACTTGTTCGTGATAGTGTGATGTATATTTCCCGGTGTGTTTGAATGTAACATGACTTGTTTGTAATACTGTGATGTAAATTTCCCGGTGTGGTTGAATGTAACATGACCTGTTCGTGATAGTGTGATGTATATTTCCCGGTGTGGTTGAATGTAACATGACCTGTTCGTGATACTGTGATGTAAATTTCCCGGTGTGGTTGAATGTAACATGACTTGTTCGTGATAGTGTGATGTATATTTCCCGGTGTGGTTGAATGTAACATGACTTGTTCGTGATAGTGTGATGTATATTTCCCGGTGTGGTTGAATGTAACATGACTTGTTCGTGATACTGTGATGTATATTTCCCGGTTGTGGTTGAGTGGCATTGACATGTTCAGGGTTCTGATTTTAGAATGGTATTGGCATTTTGTATGGCAGATTAATGTCGACATGTTCAAGTGTTTTGTGTGTTAGAATGGTATTGACCTATGTTTTATGTGTATTATAATGGAATTGAATGCTCCAAGTTTCTTGGATGTGTTAGAATGGCACTGACCTGTCAATATACCTGTGTTGTGATAGAATGGTACAGGCATACTGATATGGCCTTGGTCGTTGAAAGGGGCCGAGAGAACTGACATGTATTAAATGTGAATGTTAATTTCCTGCTGTCTTAAAATGTTATGGTTGATGGGCTCTGTCCTTTGATAATGGTCCAGGCCATGGTGATGTCGTCATGGAAACAGGTGAGTATGAAACAGGAGAGTGAGTGAAATATATACTGTCTTTGAACGCAAACAAATTGCAAGATATAATATTTCGAAGTTTTCCATATTTGAAACGTGATATATTTTTTTCACAGCAAACCCGGATATGTTTACGGAACTGGGTAAGTAATATCTTTTATTCAGACTTCTATTCAAGGTCTTTTCGATAAATTGTTAAATCCGACATGAATTCTGTTTAGGGAAATGGGTAGAAAGTGGTTTCTATTCTCTCAGATAAATTGTTAAAACCGTCATGATGTGATAAGTATTATATGGAACCGAAGTTATAGATACCACCAATAATGATCATAACCGTTCAATACTTGATCTCAACTGAGTGTCACAATAGACCCGGAAGTGAAGGGTCGTGCACTACGTTTGTTTACCGTTACTGATGCCGCTGCGTTGTCCTTGCAGCGGAGACTCCGGCAGGTATAGCAACTATCATGAGTAAGTATGATGATTCTAATACTGATTATGATGATGGTTTAAAGGAAATTGCCGGCCTCTGTTTACTTGAATTACTTGATGAAGAAAGATCTGATGTTTTGGGATTCCTGCAATATTTAAGTTGTTAAACAGGGATTGGAATGTGTTTAACCCGGACTGACACTTGAGAACGACCATTGAGAACGAACGTAAACTGGATTAATCGTGGCGGAGACTTTGAGAACTGGATGATCTTGTCGAATATAATGAATATTGCTGACTGCGGCAGAAAACGACAAAGAAACATAGAATTTTCAGTTCGAATAATGGTCGTTTCAAACTATAATCAATTCAACGATTTTCTTTCAGAAATGATAGGTTAACAACGCAGCCTGGTAGCGAGGCATAACTTACACAAAGGTAATTTTATTTTATGCAATGTCTGTATAAATACTTAAATACATACGTCCATACTAAATTTATTTTTATATCTTTCAAATGTGTAATAAGTGATAAACAAGACTGAAGGTAACCGTAGTATAAGTATCGACTGTACAGACTCGGACTGCCAGTGATACAATGCTTAGGTGTTGTTGATAAAGTGCCTTGATGTATTGTCTCAACAGAGATACAAATTTGCTGATACAGCGAACAATTTAGTCATTCTCACCCACCCATGGTGAATATACATGTATGATTCAGAATAGGAATATCAAAATAAATAGTTTTGGTTAGCATATTTAGGGATTCTGCAAATGCACCACTGTTGTTTTGCGAGTTGGATAGTTCTTTGACAACTCAGTGATGTGCACATTGATGAGATAAGAATTTAATTATGGTGATTTTGCATTTACGTGTTGCCCTCACAATAATCCCTATTTTGTCAGCTTCATACCCGAACCAGCGTGTTTCAGGGACATCGTCAACGGCGTGTACATAGCGACATCGTCACCGGCGTGTATACAAAGCTCTAGTTTCTCTTGCTGTGTTACTGATACACGATACGGTAATGCCTTCTTGTGTCTGTTTCAGCGCAGGTACCGTTGGACAAGAGATGGAATCAGGGGAAACAACTCTTGATGAATCCAACGTTTGAAATGACCTTGGTGGTAGCAGCATCCTTGTGACGACCCCCGCTGGGACTATATCTCGGGGCTCTGGTGGTGCACTTCATATCTCATTAACGAATAGAGGTCCTGGTAGTCCTTTACATGGGCGAAACAAAACTGATGTTAACGTTACAAGGGCATACTTCTTTGAACGAAATTGATTTTAATGTAATACAATGATATGGGTCTTAAACAATTTTCACTTTTCATATCTTTTTTCGAAAATCGACACCCCAATATATTTAGTTTCGCAAACTTCCCGAATTTCTCTAATTGTTCTATTTTATGTGAGGAGATATCTTAAATGTGACAATCATGGTTGCATTTCTGCAATGGAATACTGAAATATGAAGAACTCTAGTTATTATTTATTCGAGGATTATTTCTCTAAAACAAAACAGGCATCGTGTTGTAGATATTTATTAGCAAGTAATATTGGCAAATTCGTGACGTAATCAAATACTATTGATTACTCGTTATTCTAATTCTTTTGCTGTGCGAAAAATAAACAATTGCAAAAATAAACGATATTTCATGAAATCGTCTTTGTGTGTTTTTGTATGCAACTGTGTAACACCCTGTATGTAGACAATGATCAGTGGCAGCTCTGGATCTGTGTAACACCCTGTATGTAGACAACGATTAATGGCAGCTCTGGATCTGTGTAACACCCTGTATGTAGACAACGATTAATGGGAGCTCTGGATCTGTGTAACACCCTGTATGTAGACAACGATCAGTGGCAGCACTGGATCTGTGTAACACCCTGTATGTAGACAACGATTAATGGCAGCTCTGGATCTGTGTAACATCCTTTATGTAGACAACGATCAGTGGCAGCACTGGATCTGTGTAACACACTGTATGTAGACAACGATTAATGGGAGCTCTGGATCTGTGTAACATCCTTTATGTAGACAACGATCAGTGGCAGCACTGGATCTGTGTAACACCCTGTATGTAGACAACGATCAGTGGCAGCTCTGGATCTGTGTAACACCCTGTATGTAGACAACGATCAGTGGCAGCTCTGGATCTGTGTAACACCTTGTATGTCGACAACGATTAATGGGAGCTCTGGATCTGTGTAACATCCTGTATGTAGACAACGATCAGTGGCAGCTCTGGATCTGTGTAACACCCTGTATGTAGACAACGATCAGTGGCAGCTCTGGATCTGTGTAACACCCTGTATGTAGACAACGGTCAGTGGCAGCACTGGATCTGTGTAACACCCTGTATGTAGACAACGATCAGTGGCAGCTCTGGATCTGTGTAACACCCTGTATGTAGACAACGATCAGTGGCAGCTCTGGATCTGTGTAACACCCTGTATGTAGACAACGATCAGTGGCAGCACTGGATCTGTGTAACACCCTGTATGTAGACAACGATCAGTGGCAGCTCTGGATCTGTGTAACATCCTGTATGTAGACAACGATCAATGGCAGCACTGGATCTGTGTAACACCCTGTATGTAGACAACGATCAGTGGCAGCTCTGGATCTGTGTAACACCCTGTATGTAGACAACGATCAGTGGCAGCACTGGATCTGTGTAACACCCTGTATGTAGACAACGATCAGTGGCAGCACTGGATCTGTGTAACACCCTGTATGTAGACAACGATCAGTGGCAGCTCTGGATCTGTGTAACATCCTGTATGTAGACAACGATCAATGGCAGCACTGGATCTGTGTAACACCCTGTATGTAGACAACGATCAGTGGCAGCTCTGGATCTGTGTAACATCCTGTATGTAGACAACGATCAGTGGCAGCACTGGATCTGTGTAACGCCCTGTATGTAGACAACGATCAGTGGCAGCTCTGGATCTGTGTAACACCCTGTATGTAGACAACGATCAGTGGCAGCACTGGATCTGTGTAACACCCTGTATGTAGACAACGATCAGTGGCAGCTCTGGATCTGTGTAACACCCTGTATGTAGACAACGATCAGTGGCAGCTCTGGATCTGTGTAACATCCTGTATGTAGACAACGATCAGTGGCAGCACTGGATCTGTGTAACGCCCTGTATGTAGACAACGATCAGTGGCAGCTCTGGATCTGTGTAACACCCCTGTATGTAGACAACGATCAGTGGGAGCTCTGGATCTGTGTAACATCCTGTATGTAGACAACGATCAGTGGCAGCACTGGATCTGTGTAACGCCCTGTATGTAGACAACGATCAGTGGCAGCACTGGATCTGTGTAACACCCCTGTATGTAGACAACGATCAGTGGCAGCTCTGGATCTGTGTAACGCCCTGTATGTAGACAACGATCAGTGGCAGCACTGGATCTGTGTAACGCCCTGTATGTAGACAACGATCAGTGGCAGCTCTGGATCTGTGTAACACCCTGTATGTAGACAACGATCAGTGGCAGCACTGGATCTGTGTAACACCCTGTATGTAGACAACGATCAGTGGCAGCTCTGGATCTGTGTAACACCCTGTATGTAGACAACGATCAGTGGCAGCTCTGGATCTGTGTAACATCCCTGTATGTAGACAACGATCAGTGGCAGCACTGGATCTGTGTAACGCCCCTGTATGTAGACAACGATCAGTGGCAGCTCTGGATCTGTGTAACACCCTGTATGTAGACAACGATCAGTGGCAGCACTGGATCTGTGTAACACCCTGTATGTAGACAACGATCAGTGGCAGCACTGGATCTGTGTAACACCCTGTATGTAGACAACGATCAATGGCAGCTCTGGATCTGTGTAACACCCTGTATGTAGACAACGATCAGTGGCAGCTCTGGATCTGTGTAACACCCTGTATGTAGACAACGATCAGTGGCAGCACTGGATCTGTGTAACACCTGTATGTAGACAACGATCAGTGGCAGCTCTGGATCTGTGTAACACCCTGTATGTAGACAACGATCAGTGGCAGCTCTGGATCTGTGTAACACCCTGTATGTAGACAACGATCAGTGGCAGCACTGGATCTGTGTAACACCCTGTATGTAGACAACGATCAGTGGCAGCTCTGGATCTGTGTAACATCCTGTATGTAGACAACGATCAATGGCAGCACTGGATCTGTGTAACACCCTGTATGTAGACAACGATCAGTGGCAGCTCTGGATCTGTGTAACACCCTGTATGTAGACAACGATCAGTGGCAGCACTGGATCTGTGTAACACCCTGTATGTAGACAACGATCAGTGGCAGCACTGGATCTGTGTAACACCCTGTATGTAGACAACGATCAGTGGCAGCTCTGGATCTGTGTAACATCCTGTATGTAGACAACGATCAATGGCAGCACTGGATCTGTGTAACACCCTGTATGTAGACAACGATCAATGGCAGCTCTGGATCTGTGTAACATCCTGTATGTAGACAACGATCAGTGGCAGCACTGGATCTGTGTAACGCCCTGTATGTAGACAACGATCAGTGGCAGCTCTGGATCTGTGTAACACCCTGTATGTAGACAACGATCAGTGGCAGCACTGGATCTGTGTAACACCCTGTATGTAGACAACGATCAGTGGCAGCTCTGGATCTGTGTAACACCCTGTATGTAGACAACGATCAGTGGCAGCTCTGGATCTGGTAACATCCTGTATGTAGACAACGATCAGTGGCAGCACTCGGATCTGTGTAACGCCCTGTATGTAGACAACGATCAGTGGCAGCTCTGGATCTGTGTAACACCCTGTATGTAGACAACGATCAGTGGGAGCTCTGGATCTGTGTAACATCCTGTATGTAGACAACGATCAGTGGCAGCACTGGATCTGTGTAACGCCCTGTATGTAGACAACGATCAGTGGCAGCACTGGATCTGTGTAACACCCTGTATGTAGACAACGATCAGTGGCAGCTCTGGATCTGTGTAACGCCCTGTATGTAGACAACGATCAGTGGCAGCACTGGATCTGTGTAACGCCCTGTATGTAGACAACGATCAGTGGCAGCTCTGGATCTGTGTAACACCCTGTATGTAGACAACGATCAGTGGCAGCACTGGATCTGTGTAACACCCTGTATGTAGACAACGATCAGTGGCAGCTCTGGATCTGTGTAACACCCTGTATGTAGACAACGATCAGTGGCAGCTCTGGATCTGTGTAACATCCTGTATGTAGACAACGATCAGTGGCAGCACTGGATCTGTGTAACGCCCTGTATGTAGACAACGATCAGTGGCAGCTCTGGATCTGTGTAACACCCTGTATGTAGACAACGATCAGTGGCAGCACTGGATCTGTGTAACACCCTGTATGTAGACAAAGATCAGTGGCAGCACTGGATCTGTGTAACATCCTGTATGTAGACAACGATCAGTGGCAGCTCTGGATCTGTTTAACACCCTGTATGTAGACAACGATCAGTGGCAGCTCTGGATGTGTGTAACACCCTGTATGTAGACAACGATCAGTGGCAGCACTGGATCTGTGTAACACCCTGTATGTAGACAACGATCAGTGGGAGCTCTGGATCTGTGTAACACCCTGTATGTAGACAACGATCAGTGGCAGCTCTGGATGTGTGTAACACCCTGTATGTAGACAACGATCAGTGGCAGCACTGGATCTGTGTAACACCCTGTATGTAGACAACGATCAGTGGGAGCTCTGGATGTGTGTAACACCCTGTATGTAGACAATGATCAGTGGGAGCTCTGGATGTGTGTAACACCCTGTATGTAGACAACGATTAATGGCAGCTCTGGATCTGTGTAACACCCTGTATGTAGACAACGATTAATGGGAGCTCTGGATCTGTGTAACACCCTGTATGTAGACAACGATCAGTGGCAGCACTGGATCTGTGTAACACCCTGTATGTAGACAACGATTAATGGCAGCTCTGGATCTGTGTAACATCCTTTATGTAGACAACGATCAGTGGCAGCACTGGATCTGTGTAACACACTGTATGTAGACAACGATTAATGGGAGCTCTGGATCTGTGTAACATCCTTTATGTAGACAACGATCAGTGGCAGCACTGGATCTGTGTAACACCCTGTATGTAGACAACGATCAGTGGCAGCTCTGGATCTGTGTAACACCCTGTATGTAGACAACGATCAGTGGCAGCTCTGGATCTGTGTAACACCTTGTATGTCGACAACGATTAATGGGAGCTCTGGATCTGTGTAACATCCTGTATGTAGACAACGATCAGTGGCAGCTCTGGATCTGTGTAACACCCTGTATGTAGACAACGATCAGTGGCAGCTCTGGATCTGTGTAACACCCTGTATGTAGACAACGGTCAGTGGCAGCACTGGATCTGTGTAACACCCTGTATGTAGACAACGATCAGTGGCAGCTCTGGATCTGTGTAACACCCTGTATGTAGACAACGATCAGTGGCAGCACTGGATCTGTGTAACACCCTGTATGTAGACAACGATCAGTGGCAGCTCTGGATCTGTGTAACACCCTGTATGTAGACAACGATCAATGGCAGCACTGGATCTGTGTAACACCCTGTATGTAGACAACGATCAGTGGCAGCTCTGGATGTGTAACATCCTGTATGTAGACAACGATCAGTGGCA